AAATATTCAAGTTGGTGTGAATTATTAAAAAATTAAATAAATTTAAAATAAATAAAGTAAATAAAAATAATTATTATTAAATGAAAAATTAGGAAAATCCTTACAGAAATTAAATTTGAAAATAGCTATACCACTTTAAGACATTTCATAGATAAAGTACTAAAGTAATAAAATATCTCCAATATAGTTTTTGGCGTAATGGTCTATGCTGGAGCAAGTAGTTATTTTTACAACATTATAACTCGGGACAGATTATAAATCGGAAAAATGCTTTTTGCAAAAAGCATTTTCAACCACACAAACTTATTAAAAATGCCATGTACTATCAGCATGGCGTGATTTTTGGTGATTCTAAAAACAATGATTTCAGATACTAAAAATAAGTTTTGGTAAATCAAAACATTCCTGTTGCAAACTAAACTAAAAAATATAAATAAGGTTGAAATAATAAAAAGGATGGAATAAAAAAGAAATCATCACTGTAAATTAAATAATAATAATTATCATAACTCTACATTTATTATAGAATATTTTTTAAAGTAAATTCTACACCAATATTATCTGGTAACAATATACAACTTTATTTTACATGCACAATTTTTCAACGCTATAAAAACTCTTGCATAATTTTTATTTATATAAAATATTTTTCGCTACATAAAATGAATACAGCAAATGAACAAATTGACAATAGATTAAAATATTCATGAATACTAAAAAGGCAGTAGAATTTCTCATTGATTTAAATCTTTTACAAAACAAGTTAAATGTTTTAATTGTGCTGAAACTATGGTTCTATCATTAGATAATAGTACTCTTAATTCTTATAAATATAGATGTAGAGGTGGTAAGCACGGATGAAGTAAATCTTTTCTGATATTCGAAAATACTATGTTCTAAATATAAAAAATCCCTATAAAAACCCGTTTTTATATACTTTATTTGTTTACTGAGCGTCAATATAAATTTAACATTAACAGAAACAGTGGAGTCTCTGCATCTAGCGTTTTTGGGTAAAAAAGTACATTTATTTAATCCTAACAAAAGGAAAAAATAATCACGAAGGTAAAATTTACGGCTTTGAAAAACAAACACAAACAGACAAAACTGTCATCGTTAAAGGTAAATTAAAACTTTACCTATACAAAAATATGATGCGAGGAAAAATTCCACGTGATTAATCGGAAAAATTGATGTAAACATATAGAGTTACGACTAAAGGCCGTACCGAATCGTTCTGCGGAAAATGATTAAGTTTTTTAAAAAATATATGCAAAGAAACACCTTGATTAACAGACGGTCACAAACCATAACTGTCATGTGTCATAACCCTCATGAAATCAATTTCTGGAATGCTTGGTTTTACTTGTTTACTTCTTTGTTTGTGTGGAATCTTCCACATTTTGAAAATTTAAATTTTTAATGAAATTAAAAAATTAGAATTTTCTAGAATTTTTTTTTATATTTAAATAAATTTTACCCTTCACGGAAGGAGAAGCAACCTGCATGAACTATACCAACGAAAATAACTTAAGTATTTTAGACAAAGCCATCAAGAGCCTATTTTTAAAAGCGTTTTAGAATATTATTTTAGAACGGAAATTCCCCCTTAAATACGTCAGTTTGTTTGTTTATCGAGTTTACGCATCAATATATAAACTAGAACTACTCTTTAATTGTAGTATATTATCTTAGTATTTTCACTTCGTCTTTTTATCGTTCTTTTATTTATTTGTTGTCTTAATCTATTTTCCTATAAAAGGAAATCCCGCCATGAACCCCAAGAAGAAATTTAGTAATGAAGTCTAAACCTCAGAAGCAACAATTTAATAATAATAAACATTTTCCTTATAATTACAAAACTTTAAAATGCGAGATGTATTTTTGCAAAATTGAAAATTAAAAGGTAGAAAAACTTGTGATTGCGGGAAAAATAAAATTTATTTGAAAAAAAAGTTTATTCTCATACAATTTTAGCCGACATTTTCAAAAATTATTTTGATGTTTTAGTAGTTAACGCTTTTAATGTTTAGATTGAGAAAAGTTTTATACCTGTTTAACGGGCAAAACACAAATTTCATGTCTGACACTATTGGCAAATAAACAACTAAAGCTAAATAGTCTCTTTGTTACACTCGTTTTACTTGTAAAAGTTGGTTTACTAAATTATCGTTTATTTGGATGTTGTTCCTGTGGAACATTATAGTTTCTTTTTTTGCTATTTGTTCATGTCCAACTTTCTTGTTGGTTTTTCGATTATTTATTAGAGATTGGCGTAAGTCCATGAGATGGAATTCATCCTAAAGTATTCTTCTAACATACTAGTGATAGGTGTGATGTTAATGGCCCGAGAACTGCTTCTGTGTCTTGTAGTTAAAATTGGTTAAATAATTTTTACTGAACATTTTTTACTTATAATTTTTTGTTTAAATAGTTTTTTCCCTTAGAAGCCACCAATCATATTTAAAAAACGTTTAATTACTGTTACAGGTTGCTGAAATTTCACTTTATTAGCTAATTATAAATTTGATAGGTTCATGATCTTTCGACAATCATGCGATATTATACCAAAGAGATTAAAGTTAAAAATTATTTTTAACATAACTTTTTTTTTTCAGAAAGAAAAAAATTAATCCATGTGGTAGATATTACCATAGCAGGTAATCTAGTTCATAAAAGATACAATATTAAAAAAAAACTTAAAAAGAACAGAGTTAAATTTGATGCAACTGTCTGTGCTAGGGTAAAAAATTAAAGGGGGGTTATATACAGAAAAGAAAAATATTTACTTGAAAAAATGTTTGACTATGTCTACAAATAAATCACTACAGCTTTTTCTATATTTATATAAAGCACGGCGCACTCCTCATAAAAAATTTTCTATGAAATTGGGTAATGCATTTTCTTTGATGCCTTTTTTGTGGCTATTTTTGTTTTTAACTGCGACCACATCCCTTCTATCAAGTTGGTGGTTTTCTCTGATGCGTTTCTAAAATCCTCTTCGTGTATTTCAATATAGTTCTCGCGATTAATTGCATCGAGTGCGAGTAGGTATTGTCGCGTTTTGAAGTTTTGTAATAACAAGAAAAATGCTCATTAGAGTTAAATTGTTCCTCCTGAGGTTTAGACTTTATTACTGGATTTCTTCTTGAGATTCATGGCGGGATTTCCTTTTATAGGAAAATAGATTAAGACAACAAATAAACAGAAGAACGATAAAAAGATAAAGTAGAAATACTAAGATAATATACTACAATTAGGAGGCAGTTCTGGTTTATATGTTTATGCGTAAATTTGATAAACAAAAAAACAAAGAAGTAAACAAGTAAAACCAAGTATTCCAGAAATTGATTTTATTAGGTTTCAGACTCATGACAATGCAGCCTTTTTTTAATTCTTATTTAATCATTTTTGCTGTACAAAAATAAGAGCGACTACTAACTGTTTTATTTTAATACTGTAATGTTTAAAAAAGTGTTTAAGAAAAGTACTTTTACCTACGGCGTAAATTTTAGAATGAGTAGTAATTTTATCGCTGATTTTTGCTTTTTTTGATTTAGAATTTAAAAAATTAACGAACAAATGATAAAAGATGAAATAGGAATGAAAAGCAACAATTTAAAAACTTTATTGAGGCTAGATTATTACTTTTGTACTTAATTTATGAAATGCCTTAAAGTGACTGTTAAATACGTTTTCATTTATCTATTTTATTTAGTAATATTTTCTTTTATATCTTTTTTAGTTGACCTCGTGTCAGATAAAAACACGAATTAGATCTTATACATTGAAAGTATCCTAATTATTATTATTTTTTGGTGGATATGATAATGACATTTTCTACCTTGAAATATGTAAAAACATGTTTTATTTTTAAATCACAATTCTCAAAAGTGCAAAGCTATTTTTAAGTTTAGCCTTTGTAAGGATTTTCCTAATTTTTCATTTAATAATAATTATTTTTATTTACTTTATTTATTTTAAATTTATTTAATTTTTTAATAATTCACACCAACTTGAATATTT